CCCCCCCCCCCCCCCCCCCCGCAAGGGAACGATTGATGGCGCTTCCTTGGCATCGATAAACGCAAGTTGTGTGTGGGTTGTACGGTGCTATTGCTGCCTTTGGTGTCCTCATCTGTATCACACGCAAGCGGCCGTCTTTTTTCGGCCCAAGCAGCCCTCCTTATGCTCACCACCACGAAGCATAGACCGGTGGTGAGATCCCAAAATCAAGCAGCAGCAGCAGCAGCTGCTGCTGGCGCTACACCCTCGTGCACCTCACGCTACGCCGTGTATTAAGCTTACATCATGTTGTTTTGGTTTGTTTCTCTTGGCCGCTTCATCTTTATCGACGGTCGTGGTTACCACCGGCAATATGCGATGCTTACGCGTGCGTGCACCACAGCCTGCCGGGCCGCTCACGTCGAAAAACGGTTATTACTGCGGGTGGAGCTCAATGAGCTCAACGCTGGAAAAGAACCGACTGGTCGACAGGCACAAAGGGCGACCACACACCTTCACCCTAACGCCAGAGGGAAGGGAGGTCGCGTTCAAGGTCGTGCAGGTGACGAAAAACACCCACGGATACCCTCTACAGGCACCGCCCTTATGTGTTAGTCCAATGAGCGGTGCTACAAGTAGGCCTGGGTTTGCTACACCATAGTTCCCGCCTCCGTGTCTCTCACGCGCGGCTGTCTCGTTGTGTGTGCGTGTTTCGCGACGCAGCAGCATGTTCATGCCGATACGATTGTGTCGCATCTCTCAAAACTCCCCATGTGTGCGTGGGACATGCTGAACGACCATCCCTTTGAAATCCTTGTCGCTTAATCGCTGGTATGATTTTCGTCGCCAGGAACACCCGGAGGACTTTGGGGTTAGCAACGCCTTCAACAGCACGGCGCACAGCGACGCCAATAGCGGTGGTGGCGCCGGCAGTTCTTCTCCGGACGCCTTTTCGCCGCCTAGGCGAACTGGAGCGGAGGCGGCGGCGGCCGGCACACGCGGCGTGCCCTCTTCCGTCCGAAACCCGTACTCGCCCAGCGGTTGGATTGCCGCGGCCTTTCCTAGTAGCAGTAGCGGCGGCGGCTGTGGCGGCGGCGGCAGCAGCGGCGGTGGTCGCGGTGGCGTGTCGACAGCCAGTGCCCTAGCCGCGAATGCCGCAGAGGCCAGAAGGTCGGTGGAGGTCGCTTCGAAGGCGAAGGTGAAGGCACCGGCGGCAGCGACCGCGTCGGTGGGGACTACCCGAGGGCGGATGCTGCAGAGGAAGTACGTCATGCAAAGAATAGTCGGGATGGATCTCGGGAGTAAGGGTTCGGGTAGAGGAAGGTGGAACACGCCAGGAGTGTCTCTGCCGAAAACGTCTTGGGTGTTGGGACAGCGATGTCTGTTGCCGATCCCGCGGGCGTAGCGTACTGGTGTATGACGTGCCGTTGGCGTGGGATGGGTTTCCACCGGGCAGCATTGACCCGGCAGCAGTCTCCAAACCCGTGGTGTTTCGCAGTGCGCAGGCCTTTGTAGCAAAGAGCGGTGCGACCTATTTTTCGAATTGCCAGACGACGAAGATCTTGTTTGTTTGTTTTTTCGCTGTGACCCGTCCCTTTTTCTCTTCTGAGAGCCACAAGACTACCGCTTTTGAGAGCGCCGTTGCTGCTGCAGCAGCGAGGCATTATGTTCTCGCCGCCGTGCGAAGCTTGCCCCCGATGGCTTCTGCCTTTGTGTTGCGACGTCACGAACGAGTTGCTCTCCGCCTGCTGCCGCTGCTGCGGTCCTTCGGCGTTCCGTCGATTGCGAACAGGGGCCAGGAGAAGCACGCGAAGCGGGCGAAGCTGTACGAAATGTCATCGCCGGGTCCTCCCCGTCACGGCGACCGCGGGGGCACTAGCGGCATGCTTCTGGCTGCTCTACAACAGTGCGGCCAGCAGGGGGACGGCAAGTCTGCCGCAAGCAGAGAAAAAAGCGAACCACCCCCACCAGCTTCTACCGCCGCCGCCAGAGGCGCCGGCGAGCTTGGCGCAATCGACGACGACTGGATGTCGTTGACGTCGAAGCCAGTAAGTAGCCCGCCGGCGCTAGAGGTGTCATCGCCGCCGGCGGCGTGGAACCGTCGCGCTAGCGGCGGCCGGCCGAACACGACAAGTCCCGAACCCTCGAGCGTAGGCGCTGTGTCACGGAGGGCCGCGCCGCCGCCGCCACCGTCGCGGTCTGCTGTGCCCTCGGCAGGAGGGAACAAGAGGAAGACTGCGACCAGCTCGGAGACGGGCGGTAGAGGCGGAGGGGTGACGATGGTTGAGGATGTGGTGGACATCTCCCTCAGCGATGACGAAGACGAGGGCGACGGCAGCGATGGTGCGGAAGCCGTCGCGGTATCGTCCCCGGACCGGGCTCAAGCACCGACGGAGTTGCCTAGGAGCAGCAGCAGCAGCAGCAGCAGTGCGGAGGGATCGGCGGTCTCCCCGTCGGTAACCCAGCCGCGAGCGGGGGGTGGTGGCGGTGCGGCGATCCGTGTAGGACAGGACCACCACGCCGCGGCGGCGGTTGCTGCTGGCGTTGGCGCACCGGGGCCCGGCGGAGGGGGAGTCGCGCCGCTGGTGCCTCCGACGCTGTATCGATCGATGGCGCGAGGGGCCGCTGCCGGCCCTTCCGAGGACGGCGCGTTGAGCTGGCGCGGTCGCGCTTGCCCCGCCTGGCTGCAGGGGGAGCTGGACGCTGGTGCCTTGAGCGGAAAGGGTGAGTGGTGTGCCGGGATGCGGGTGTCGAGCATGCGGTCGGAAGTAAGCGAGGCTACGTGTAGCCATGGAGTTTCGTTCACGGCAAAATGAACTTGCAACGCTGGTGAGTTCAAAGATTTTACCGTGAACAAAATACCGTGGGCCATATCACGGGTGACACTTGGTGTTGAAAAAAACATGATGTGCCTTACGATTCCCTTCGTATTGACTCACTCTCTCGTGATAGGTTTGCACTTGTTTCATCCCCGTTCGTAACTCTTTCGTGATGGATTCAACGCGGTACCGCGGCTCACGGTAAAAGTGACAACGGCCCTGTATTTTTTCTATGAAAAGGGCGACGAGACTCCGACGAACAGGGTTAACAACGAAGAACCCAAGCTCATGTTGCTATTACAATAGGCATCTAGGCAAGAAGAGGAAAATGTTACTGCTGTTACACAAGTTCGTTTTGCGGCATGTTTGAGGGCGAGTCATTCGCAGAACAAGAACGAGAATCTCGTTCGTTTATACAGTCGACGTTGCCCTCGAAAGGTCCCTAAACAGCCACCTGCTGCTCCGAAAGACCTTCTCTGTCTTGGTGTGGCTGGGGAATCCTCGCGGCGAGGCCGGTTGTCCTGTGTCTTTCGTCCAGAAGTGGTGGACGTCATGGTTTTCCTCGACGACCAACGAACTTAGCTGGCGCCAACTGTCCCCCCCTACCTACCCCAAGGCCCGCCCGCTCTACGCTCCACTCTCGATGTTACTAAGTTTTTTTGAGGTCGGCGGAAAGACTCCGAAGTGTCTGCCTCCCACCGACCTGCACACGACAGGCTGCCCGCCAGCCTGCAGCCGCCGTTCAACTCCCGCCCCGGCCGGCCGTGTCTTTGCCCCTCTCTCAGACCGGATGGTCGACGCGTTTGACCTCGTGCTAATTGTGGACCCCGGCGAACAGCGAGACAAGGTCCGAGCCCCCATCCGAGACAAGCTGGAGAGGTGAGTGTGTGTGTGTGCGTTTGCCCCCGTCTGTTGTCGTTTTCTCGCCGCCTTCCTGCAAGGGTGGTACTTAGTATGTGTTAGGAGGACGCAAGGGGGTTCCCGCGGAGCGTAATCCTTCTTTTTGATGGAGTCTATTTTGCCGAACACCGTTCATTCGTCGCGTGTGCCCGTGTGCCGAAAAATTATATGTACCCGCATATAAGCCATGCACCCGCACCGTCTTTTTACCGACGGACATCCTGTGTGAGCAACGAGCGTCACGAACATGTAGCGTTTTCTTGTTTCTTCCACCTTGTCGCTCAACTACAGGCAGGCGCAGTTTTCTGTCCCTCCAAGCAGCAACTTGCATGAAACCGGCTAAAATCCCTACCGCTAACCCCAACCCTACCCCCAAACCGACCCAAAAGGTGTTAGGTTGACGCTGAGTTGCTCAGTTCTAGTTTGTGCCTGCGTTAGGGCTAGGTTAGGGTTGGGTGGCTCAGTTGTAGGTTGGTGTGCTGGCATTGGGGCTAGGTTGACGCTGGGTGGCTCAGTTCTAGGTTGTTTTGCCGGCATAGGTTGGTATTGATGGGATAGTTGCTAGGTTGGTGTTTGTGCGATCGACCTAGGGTTGGTAGGCTTGGGTAGGTGCTAAGTGTTGACCTCTGTAGGTGTGCTAGGTTATGTGGGGCTAGGTCGCTCTTGGTTGGGTGGTTCTGCCGGTAAAAAAGGTGTGGGTGCATGGCTTATGTGCGTCCGCATATGTGCATCGAATGTTTTTCCTGTGTGATGAATGTATGTAACATGCACTATGTTTGGTGCACACGAATTGTTTGTGGGGG